ACATGGCATATGTGCGGTTCATGAAAGTCAACATATTTGCCGCATTTCAACAGACACTGCAATTTATTTTTTGCGAGGGATGCATCAAACGAACGTTCATTTTTTTTTGTCGAATTTCCCTCCAACTGTTGCTCTGAAAATTCTGAATATTAACGGTCATTTTCATGAAACAACTTTTTCAATGTAATGCCTACAGATGACGCAATTACCAGAACAGCGCCACCTAGAGTAGTCCAGTCTGGTTTCCGACCAAACCAAAAGTATTGAAATAAATAAGCAAATACAATATCCATTGTTCTAATGATCGCCACATAAACTGCTTTTTCGATTTGTAAGGCTTTTGTCAGAAGTATTTGCCCGCCTACACCACAAAGTCCAACGAATATCAAATAAATCCAGTCCATTTTGTGGAATGGAATGGCGAATTGTCCTAATGCGTAGAGAAAAACTGTGGTTGTAACCATGCCTACAGCGGAGAAGTAAAAAATAATTGTCAGGTGATTCACATTTTTACCGAGTTTCCGGCTTGAAATGAGCACCATTGAGATAAACAATGCTCCCACTAATGCAAATATAGCTCCTAGTGCTGGCTTGTAGATATACTGCTCGACTGTCTTCACATCGGCATCTGATTCTGTAAACAAAAACGATGGTTTAGAAATAACTACCACGCCTGCCACACTTAGCAGGGCGAAAAAAATGTCGACTAATGTAATCAATTCTTTCAAACAAACGCAACTTAAGAAGGCCGTGCAGACAGGTATGCTAAAAAATATGACAACAGCATCTCCTACAGGCATTAAACGCACCGCTGTGAATATACAGGTTGTACCCAAGCAACCACAGATACCGCGTAATATCAACCAGGCATATTGGGAACTATTGTACACAAGTAACGGCACCTTGTTATATACAATGGCTGGTGTGATGCAGATGTTTAGTACCGCCATTCTAACTAGATAGATGCCAAATGGATGGACGGTAGTGATCAGTTTAGCTCCAGCAATACTCCCGGCAAAAAATATACACGAAATAAACGCGTAAATCAGCCCAACATGCGACGAAGTCATTTGACAGCACGTATGCACGTCAGAACCCTGCCCAACTGGGCCAGCTTCTTCATCTGCGATATCACCGAACAACAATGGCAAGGTTGATTCATCCAAAATATTGTTTCTTTCTTTTTCTGTTTCCATGGTCTTTCGAAGGCACCCACAAGCGCGATGCTATGTTTTGTGTTGAACTCTACAAGAACACATTGCGTGATCTGAGCAGAATTCTACGAGAACACATTGCGTGATCTGAGCAGAATTCTACGAGAACACATAGCGTGACCTGAGCAGAATTCTACGAGAACACATTGCATGTGAATTGACTGATGTGTAAGCTAATTTTAGTTCTACACAACCGCGCTTACCCATATTAACTGGTAGTATACATTTATATATAGAAAAAAACCGTATTCGATCTCGTAGCAGCACTATCCAATACCGCTGTTCTTCAAGTGTCATTGTATTTAACCTGTATAGAATGTCGGGAAATATTCATTGTATTAGTCCACGTTGACAGCGGTTGAATATTTAGTGGATTTCTGAATACAATCACTCAAATAACAAAAATAAGACAAGAAATGAATGTTTAATTATGGAAATTTTATATAAGAATGGGATTTAACTTAATAAATAATAATTATAATGATGATTCAAACAATAACGATAATAAGAGGCTTATTACTTATTACTCACACCAATATACATGTTACACTCTGCATATATTTATTTTAATATCGTGCGCTGCCTGTTTTGAAACGCCGTATTTTAATATCGTGCGCTGCCTGTTTTGAAACGCCGTATTTTAATATCGTGCGCTGCCTGTTTTGAAACGCCGTATTTTAATATCGTGCGCTGCCTGTTTTGAAACGCCGTATTTTAATATCGTGCGCTGCCTGTTTTGAACCGCCGTATTTTAATATCGTGCGCTGCCTGTTTTGAAACGCCGTATTTTAATATCGTGCGCTGCCTGTTTTTTTGAAACGCCGTATTTTAATATCGTGCGCTGCCTGTTTTGAAACGCCGTATTTTCATATCGTGCGCTGTCTGTTTTGAAACGCCGTATTTTAATATCGTGCGCTGCCTGTTTTGAAACGCCGTATTTTAATATCGTGCGCTGCCTGTTTTGAAACGCCGTATTTTAATATCGTGCGCTGCCTGTTTTGAAACGCCGTATTTTCATTTGACGATCGGTAAAACGTGCTTGAAAACAAGATCGGGCAGTATTCCTTAATGAATGATCCTAGAAATTATAATAACGATATTATTAAATGAGTTACCAAAACGGTTCCGTTGACCAGTAAACATTAACAAGCAATACAATTCTAGCGTAGTGGTATGAATAATCACAATCTATTTCTCGCCGACCATTACAATTACTGCGTACTGTAGGTAAAGTCGGGTATGGTCGGGTATTTATAATATATTATGAGGTTATGACGAGGATACTGCAAAGTATGCACGAAGACAGTACAAGGTGACGTGCATCTTAACATGGAAGGTACTAACGTTAGTAAGCAAGCACGTGCACTGTATATCACAATGTAAGTGATAGATTACATACGCAATATCAATCGTATGCGGGAATATCTGAATACATGCATAGTTCTCGAAAGACAAATACAATTGATACTATCATGTATGATGTAATGCACCATTGAACCTCATAGCTCTATCATCCAATCATATCTGCGCATTTGTCGTCAAGATACTCATTTATTACATATGTTCGTATCAACACTGAGCCATGGTTTAGGCTTTATGCTTGAATAGTAATGATCGAAAACGTGTTTGGCGATCTTGTAACAGTCTCCGTTGACCTTAAAATCTCACTCACTTGCTAGTCGCAAGTGGGCATTTTTGTAAAGGGGTACACATTTTTCCTTGAAATATGGGGCGTACACACACAAACATACCCATACGTGTAAAGTTTAAAATACATAAATACACATATACTGTGGCATTCGCATTTGATCTTCGTTGCAACTAAGAAACCACGTGATGAACATGCGTGACAATTTTAAACAATTGACGTTTTTCTCAGTAGTTATATTGCGAAAATACATCAGCACATACTGTGGTCTTGACATTTTACTTGAAATGTGAAATGATATAGTTTAATACAGCTATGTATGTGTGTAATGTTGCAAAACTAACTGAATTTACCGTAATTTCGTCAATAAGAGACCAAGGCAAACTAAACAAAAATACAGGTCTAATGCCTTGTATATCTACAACAGCACTAATGATGGCTATAAACAGAGTTAAAAAAAAAATAACCGAAATTTAATCCAAGCATGCTCTGGCAAGTGATGCAACCCAAAGAAGTACGTAACACCATATGCTAATGCAATTGTGGCTACCACTTGAGACGACGCCTCCACAGGCGTAAATAGGTTAATGCACGCGTTTTTTTTAACACACACATGAAATAAATTTATCAAATAGCGCCCCCACAGGCGTAAAAAGGTT